GCCCTTTGCATTCAGCTTCATCAAACTTTCTGGACAATGCATCTGCTGCAACATTCTCCACCCTTTTCTGAATTGTATCTCATAGCTCAGCCCAAGAAGCTTTGTGACTCCTTTAGTGGCGATCCTTTGCTCCTTAAGAAAATTTAGACTGAAATAGTTAGTTTTGATAATAAAATAGTGTGGTTGTAAGTACTGTCTCTATTTATCCACAGTAATGAGCAATGCAATCAGCTCTTTTTCATATGTAGATAAACCCAAATGCCTATTGCTTAAGGCTTGAGTCAAATAGGCAACAAGCCTTCCATCCTGTGTCAAGACTGCCCAACACCTCTCCCACTAGCATCCACTTCCACTGTAAATGGCTTAAAATTTTTTGGTAAAGCCAGAATTGGAGCCTTTACCATGGCCAATTTTAATTCCTCAAAGGCTTTGGCAGCTTTTTCATTCCACCCAAAATTCCCCTTTTTAAGCAGGTTTGTCAATGGTTTGCTAATTAAAGCAAAATTTTTAATGAACCTACGGTAATAACCTGTCAAGCCCAGAAATCCACGGAGTTCCTTGATGCTTTTAGGTTGTGAACACTGTAGCATAGCTTCTATTTTGTCTTCATTTGTGCTGACTCCTTCACCACTAATTATATTTCCCAAATAACTCACCTTAGTCTGAGCAAAATTGCATTTTGATTCTTTGGCAAAAAGTTGGTTGACTCATAAGATATCAAACACAATTTTCAAGTGCACAACATCTTCTTCAATAGTAGAGTTGTAGATAAGGATGTCATCAAAAAAGACAAGCACAAATTTTCTAAGATAAGGACCAAAGATTATGTGCATGAGTGCTTGAAAAGTATCTGGTGCATTTGTGAGCCCAAAGGGCATTACCCTGAATTCCCAAAGACCATGGTGGGTCCTAAAAGCAGTTTTTGGAACATCAACCTCTTTCATAAAGATCTGGTGGTAGCCAGATCGTAAATCAAGCTTAGAAAAATATTGCGCCCCATGAAGCTCATCCAACAAATCCTCCATGACTGGTATCAGGTACTTGTTTTTAATAGTAATCTCATTCAATTTATGATAGTCCACACAAAGTGTCCAACTAGAGTCTTTTTTCTTAACCAAGAGCATCGGAGAAGCAAATGGAGAGATACTAGCAGTGACTGTTTGAGCTTTCAACATGTTAGCCACAATTTCCTCAATTGCATTATTTTGTTCAAAAGAATAACAATATGGTCTAAGATTAACTGGTTTGGAGCCTGGAATCAACTCAATAGCGTGGTCATAATCGCGAGCAGGTGGTAATTCAGTAGGCTCTTTAAATAAATTTGAGTACCTTTCCAATAAAAATTTAACTTCTTCTGGAATGGGTTCATCAATAAGTTTGGCTCCAATCATCATAAGTTGAGCCGCATAATTACACTGCCCTTTGTTGAGTAATTTTCTGACCTCCTTAGCATCCAATGTTTTCAAGGTTTCTGGATTAGTGTCACTAAGTTAGTGAATTACTTGTGAGTCTCGAACAAAAGAAATTGCAAGTGTTCTAGTGTTTAACACTACTGGAACCACTGAATCAATCCAATCCATTCCTAAAACAACATCACAACCACCAATCTCTAATAATCTCAAGTCGAAAGTGAATTCCATCACAAATTGGTTGTTAGCTACCTTTACTTTCATGGGCCTAGAATGTCCTCCACTTGGGCTGAAAGGGTTTTAGCAATCCGTGGATGCACAAAGTCATGAGTGGATCCACTATCAACAAGCACCACAAATTTGTGTTTCTTAATAGTAGGTGGGGACTTGTTGTGGCCCAGCATCACCATTAACGATAATTCTCCTTGGTCATGGGCTTCAGGCCCAATTTCAGTGACTGGATCCACGAGATCTTCATGAGTATGACAAAATTCTTCCCCTTCCATAGCATGTAAGGTCTTAGGTTTACATTGGTGACCCGGGGAATATTTTTCATAACATTTGTAACATAAGTTCTTCTTCTAACACTCCTCAAATGATAATTTCTTATCTCCGGCCACTTTTGTCTTGACAACAGTAGCAACTCGAGCTGGTGGGGGTGGTAATGAAAAAGTGGGTTTATTTGTGTGGTAGGCATATTTAGGGGTGAACTGATGGGTTAATTGTTTATAAAGGGAATTATAAGATTGCTCATGTAGCTTGGCACATTGGTAAACTTTCAAAAGTGCTTGAGGATCAGCCCATTGCACCAAGGGATAAATATCTGGCTTAAGTCCACCAATAAAATAAGTGACAAAATAAGGTTCCTTAAGACAAGGATTAATAAGTGATACCAAACAATGAAGTTATTCGAATTTGCGAATATAATTTTTTATGTCAGTAACTTAGTCTAAACGATTAAATTGTAAAATAACTTACATCGGTTTAGTGTTACCAAATCGTAGGCAAACATCTTCACAAAAACTAGTCCACATCACCTTATCTTCCTTATCTGTCACATAAATACGAAACCAATTATCAACAAAGTATTTAAAATGAATATCAACATAAGTCATCCTTTCATCATCAGTAAATTGATACAAATCAAACAAATTTTGACAATGTATAACCCAACTAGTGGGGTTATGTTCATCAAACTCCGGAAAGGATAGCTTGGCTTTGGGAATTTTGGAAGCATTGTTGTATTGTGGAGGCCCAATTTGAGGCTGTGACCCAGCGGACCAGCCCAATGGCAGGGGATTAATTTACCCAAATTGAATAGTATGATGATAAGTTGGGGTATGGAAATAGGTAGTGGGCTGGATAGTTGTGTGTGAGTGAGAAACATTAGCGGTGGCAGAAATAGGTATGGTACTAGGAGGCGAAAAGATGATGGAGTTAGGGGTGTTGAAATCAAGGGTTCAGTGTGAATAGTGTGAGAAAAAATAGTTATATGGGGGTTACTATGAAGCGCAAAAGGAGACATTAACAGCTCCATTATCACCGCAACTCTCTAATAAGTGTAAGTTGGAGTATTAGCTCGAAGAACACCGGCTGAAAATGGAGTGCCGGAGTTCGACCCAGATCCAGTTTGGTATGAAGAACTAGGAGGTCGAGAATTTGGGGGTTGTTCGACTTGATTCTTTGAAGCCATTTTCCCAACCATCTCTTCCACCCTCTTAGATGAAGCAGCAAATTCCAACATTTTGGACTCAAAAGAAGTCTGTCCATCGTTCATTTTTGCCAACTTGGTGTTGGTTTCAGTTGCAAAATTCAAAAAATGGGTCTCCAATGACTTTAACCCTTCTTCAACAGAAGGATTTCGTTCAGGATCTCCCATATTTCACTGCCAAGATCGAAGCTCTGATACCAAATATAACACTTTTTGGATTTTTAATTAATGATTAATTAAAAGCAATAAAATAGTAAAGAGAAAAATAGAGAAAATCTTTAGAATTCATTCATGGCTGAGGTCAGTACAAAATATTCTCAAAGATATAACCCTTCCTAAAACGGTAAAGTGGGCCCGACCTATAATGAGTAGACACCTAGCTAGTTTCTAGAAGGATCTAATGGCCATAAATGTCACTTTTAGGGAAAACAGGAAAACAAACTAATAGACTAAGTTGACTATTGAGCTTTTTAACAAAGGTGGGCCTTAGAAAGGACCCAATGTTCCAGCCCAACGTAACAACTAAGATACCCAAGCTGTTTCTTTTTCAACCTCCAATTGATAATTAGCAATCCCTAAATCAAGAACACATTTTTATCACCTTTCGCTTCAGAGTTTCGGGTCAAGACCAATATGAAAAGATAGCTCCCGCTGAGCTCTATCTATATATATGTAAAAATTAGGTGGAAAGGATGGCCCAATCTTCACGATTTTAAGAAAAAAGTGGCGGGTGGGGTTTCGTAGATCTACTATTCATGGAGTTTGAGGGGTTTTGAAGGATTTGGTTTGAAGATATGGGAAAAGGAGAGGGAGAGGATGAAATGGTAAAACTTTGAGGGTGTTTTGGTGGTGCTTTGCGGCAGTGCGCGGCGGGGTAGAGGCGGCCGGCGGATGAGCAGAAGAGAGGAATAGAGAAAGGACTTAGGGTTTGGGAGGGTGAAAATAATGGCCCAAAATATGATTTTGCAAGCTTGTATATGTAGGAAGAGATCAATTTTAGGCCGTTAGATCAATAAAGATAAATGGCTAAGATTTGATCTTGATAATACTTAAGGAAACGACATAGTTTCAAGGCAAAACTACATCGTTTTGAGCTCTTTCTTGGCCAGCCACCTAATGGACCTGGTATGACCGAATTGGACTCGAAAATTGGGCTTGATTTGTGCATAACTCATTTGAAATGGGCACTAATCAAATCTTTTAAACCTCTTTAACAAACTAGACTAATTAAATCCAAATAACACCAAATTAAAAGAAAAAAATGTGATAAAAAATGGGCATTTACAATATACAGGAACTATACCACCAAAGATTGTAGTAAAGTCTCGAATTCGAGCATTGAGAATGAAAGCATCGTTGATATGGAGGGGATTTACCTCCAAAATGGGATTTTTCGTCGACATCCGGAGTATTCGGATCCAAAACGGGTACATGACACCAATAAATAAATAAAATAAAATAAACCAAAAAAATAAAAAATAAAAACTACAGGGGTACAAGTGAAAGATGAAAAATATATGGGGCACTAGTGACATACAATTTTCTTCTGATGCAGTTGACATTTTTTTGGCTAAAAGAGAAGCCAAAACCCTTTGGAATTAGGGCTGGACATTTATCGGGTAAAATCGATAATCCAAACCGTTAATTATTTATTGGGTTATCGGTATTGGGTTATTGAGTTACGGTTTATAATTTTTTCACTATTGGATTATCGGTTCGGGCCTCGATTTGGCAATTCTGTTAATGGGTTAACCGATAACCCAATAAGGATTGACAAAATTACTACTTTACCCTTAAGTATATACATATGCAGATATGCTAGGGCTTCATTCTTTCGACCTTTCCTATTCTTTCTCGGCCTCAGCCGCATTCTTCAGACTCTTCACTCTTCAGTTGCTTCAAAGTTCACATTTCTAAGCCGCATTCTTCAGCTTCATCTTCATTCTTTGTGTAAGTTTTTAGTTGCTTCATCTTCATCTTCATCTTAAGTTGATTCAATCGTTTATTAAGTGAATGACAGAGAAGAAAGAACTTATGCCTAAATAATCATAAAGATACCTTGAGCNTGGCCAGGCAAGAACTTCTTTGAAACACATGGGCACAACTTCCTTAATTCTAAAACGGAGTATGCGCCTTTCTCACTAGCCATCGCTTTTTTGAGAATCTGCCCACTTTACGGTCATCGCCTCATCGGATTCGAGTGGCACCAAGCTGGATGAAATCTAGGGGAGTCGATTCCTTTTAATGCTTTTACCCAGATGTAAGAGCTGGCGTGTGTAAATTAGTCATCGGAAAATCTGCCTCTCTTCCCGGTGTGTTCAGGTGCGTGAAATCTTCGATAGGTCGCATCTTGCTAGGCTTGAGTCATGCTACATTACTGAGCCCAGTCTGGTGCCAGATTCTTTCTACTACTGCCATATAAGCTCGTATGAGTGGACTGTCTCTCTCCTCTGATGGTCATATTCTCCTTGGCACTTCCCCATGGAAGTCAAGCCTTTGAGTATATTTTGGAGGATTTGGAGAGAAAAGAGAAAAGAACATTTGGTTCGCTTTCTGTATTAACAGCCTGTTGAAGTGCGTAACCATCTCATCTAAAAGCTTAAGCTGTTAGAGAACACACTTTTATTTACTTAATTATGTCTTCAACACAACCAATTGACATCTAATTAGGCGTTCAGAGGTTGTTTGTCCATCATGAGAAAATTTTATTGAAAAGGACTTTTAACGTAATTAAAAAAATTGAATTGAATGCTATGCATAGTGGTAGTGGTTGAGGAGACTTTTGAGGTATGGATCGCTTATGATGGGTATGGTGCTGCATTTTTTAACCTTGTGGTTTGTTTTGGATTGTTAAGTTGGATTGTGTATATTAAGTTGTGATGTTTTTCCTTTTTGCTTGTTTAATCTCTGGCAAATTTAATTCGGTGGCTACGACTAATAATATTCAGTGAGTTAAGATATACTTTAAGATATAGACGAGCAAACAACATTTCGGGAGGCTGTCTTTGTTACTACGGAGGTGGTGACCAAATTTTGAAGAGTAACTTTGACTGGAATTAAGATTGTTTCTCACTGTCTTAATGATCAAAAAAGAAAAGGGCAGTCCAGTGCACTAAGCTCTCGCTATGCGTAGGGTCCTGACCACAAGGGTCTATTGTACGCAGTCTTACCCTGCATTTCTGCAAGAGGTTGTTTTCACGGTTCGAACCTGTGACCAATTGTTTCTCAAAGGAGATTATGAGGCGTATCAATCATTACTGTTTAAGCCCCTTTACATTGGGATTAGAGTTATTCGTGCTGTTGATAGCTTGTGCTCATGTTAATTATCTTTGTTATGTTTGTTTGCAGCTGAAGCCATATGTATCTCAGTGTGCAAGAGAAACTCAAACTATGAAGGCTGCTAATGCTGCTAAATGATTCTTTTAAAAAGCTGAGTGGGATGCGCTTGCTCAAACAACTATTACTAATGTTCCTTTTGTGCTTTGGATTTTCAATTTTGTTTTGGCAGCCCGGTGCACTAAGCTCCCGCTATGTTCGGGGTCCGGGGAAGCGCCGGACCACAAGGGTCTATTGTACGCAACCTTACCCTGCATTTTGCAAGAGGCTGTTTCCACGGCCTGAACCCGTGCTCTTTGGTCACACGGCAACAATTTTACCAGTTTACCTGCTTTGGATTTTCAATATGCACCTAGTTTTTGTAAGGCAATTTCATGTTATATAAGCTCATTCCTTCTTAGATTCGAACATTTATGTTACTTAACCTTATTAGAAGGGATGCCCTCGCAGTTGCACAAAGCGTTGCATTCAGATGGTGTCGTCAGCCAACTCCTTGTTCTTTTTCTTAGACCACACTCTCAGTGCATGTATTTGGTACTTGGAAATGGCAAAAGTGATATGCGAGAACAATTAGGCAATCTAGATTTATGAATTATTATAGAGAATTTGTCGTTAAAATGGTTAGAATTGGGGAAGAACACACAAGGAACGAATGGAAGATCAAAAAGTTGGCAGAAGAAAGGACTTTTAATGTAAATAGTGAAGGTGTTCATCTATTCGTATGAATCTTCTGTTTCAAGTCTTTATATTTTTCATATCTGCACTTTTCTCTGTTTCAAATCTTTTGGAATCAGCCACTGATGCTTGCACCACGGTAGGCTGCTTACATCACACCTTTTATGGTGCGGCCTTTTCTGGATCCTACATGAACGTGAAATGCATTGTACGTAAGGCTGCCATTTTTTTTTACTTTCTTGTGAACCTACTAGGAAGTTGGTTGTGGACTTTATAATATGATTCCAAGAAGATAATACTGTTGAAAGCAGCGGGGGAATATCTACCAAGCAATGCATAACAAGAAAAGGTGCCTTAAATTCTTAGACTACCTATGTGCAAAACAATATAAAACTATTGACAACGAGGATGGGACAGTATAGAAAGAAAAATGTGGAACCTAATATAAATTAATACTAGTTGGACAAAAAAAAAGATTTTTTCATCCTCGGCCTTCTTCGTTTTTCGATGAAAGAAAAATCTCAATCTTTGAAAGCGTTTTCCTTTCCAAGTATTTCCCTTATTTGAACTTGGTGGGTATTTTTTTCGCCCTTAGTGAAAGTAGGTGGTGGGTTTAGCTTGAAACCTCATTGACGCCAAGCGTGAGAAAATGCTAGACGTTTGGTAATTTCTTCTCCGACCTAGATAAGAGATCCCATCGAAGCGGCTTCAGTATGAAGTTTGTAGGTATACATATTTCTATCTACTTGCAAATGGTTGAAGCTTTGTCAACAAAACTAAAGAAGGCAAAAATGCAACCAATATTTGTCAGTTTATGATAATTGGGATACTAGAACTTGTTGGAACATTCTAGAATAATGTATTTGAAGGAAAAGTTTCTAATACCTATAAATTGTTTATTTTATTAAAAGCCAAACGTTAATCCCTTTGGTGACTAATTTGAGATGATACTTTTGTTTGCAAATTCAGTTTTTTTGAGTTTTTATAAAATGTGTGGTTTGAACTGTTTATGCATAAAAAAAGGGATTAGCTTTTTGTTAACAATTCTCAAATTCAAAATTTTAAAATCTTTCAAAAACTCTACAACTAGTTTTTAGTTTTTTCCAAAATAAATAATTTTAAGAGAATATGAAAGATTTTTGCAAAAATAGTTCAAATAAACAACTTTTGAGAAACTAAAAAAATATGAATCTTTCAAAACTACAAGCAAACGGGTAATTTTCATTGACTTAAATATTACATCCACAAAAGAAAATTTAAAAACTGTTTACTTCAAAATTAAATGATAAACTATTTTATTATGATTATTAAGTTTGACTTTATTTTATTGAGACTAAATTATTGGCGACTCGTTTGGTGAACAAATAAGGGAATGCAAAGCTAGCAAAATGTTGACATGTCATAGTATAAGTGGTCAATTATTCCCTCAAAACGTATTAAAATAATTCTAAAACCAAAACAATTAAAGTAATTCCAAAAATAACATCAACATCAATTATAATTGGTAAAGGAAAAAGAAAAGGAAACATAAAAAGAGAGAAAAAGTAGTAAAAAAGCAAAAAAGCATTTCTTTCCTAACAAGAAACGGATTGTTTTATTCTATATTCCTATATATATAACCCCTCGCAATTAGCAGATCTCTTAAAAAAAAACATTAGCCAAACAAAAAGAAAACCTCTGAAAACTCTCAGAACTCAAAAATCATGAGTAACAAAGCTGAATCCTCTGATTCGTAAGTACACATTATCAAATCTTTGTATAGAATTATGTTGGCGTACTTGTATTTTGATTCTTGGTTTCTAAAGTTTTTCAATTTTTATTTTTATTTTTGTGATGTTTGTAGGAAAGGGACTAAAAGGGACTATAGTACAGCAATTCTTGAAAGGAAGAAATCACCAAATCGGCTTGTTGTAGATGAGGCAGTCAATGATGATAACTCTGTTGTCTCTCTTCACCCTGAGACTATGGAAAAACTTCAGCTTTTTCGTGGGGACACAATCTTGATAAAGGTTAGATTTTTATCCATGATTTTGTATTTACTGTGTTTTGGTGGGTGCAGTTTGTAGTTTTGGTAGTTCATAGGGGTAAAATTCCAGAGTTGAACTGGAAATAGCCTCTCTACCTTTTGCGTACACACTAACCTCTCCAGACCCACTTATGTAATTATACCAGGTTTGTTGTTGTTGTTGTTGTTGTTGTTGTTGTTGTTGTTGTTGTTGTCATAATAGGGTAAAATTCCTGAGTACCCTCCCTAACCCACTTGTGGGATTACACTAGTTTTTTGTTGTTGTTGTCGTCATAGGGGTAAAGTCTCACCTAATGGGACAAGGGTTGTAATGAGGTTGTGGCTAATGTTTAGGAGAATGTGGATAAATTGAGAATTCTAAATCAGGTTAGGGGATACAATCTTGATAAAGGTCAGGTTTTTACCTATAATTTGTTCAAGTTTCTTGAATTTTCCCTCTAATTTGGTAGGTGGAGTTTGTAAGTTTGGTAGCTTATACGGGTAAAGTCTCACCTATGGAACAAGGGTTGTAATGGGTTTGTGGCTAGTGTTTAGGAGAATATGGATAAATTGAGAATTCTAAATCAGGTTAGGGGATACAATCTTGATAAAGGTCAACTTTTTACCATGATTTTGTTCAAGTTTCTTGAGTTTTCCTATGTTTTGGTGGGTGCAGTTTGGATTTTGGTAGCTTTTGAGGGTTTAATCTTAGCTATGGGACAAGGTTTATAATGTTGTGACTAGTGTTTAGGAGAATGTGAACAAATTGAGAATTCTAAATCAGATAGGGGTTCTTTGGTTTCCAAATATTCTTCACCTATGAAGGAGCTTCAGCTTTTTCGTGGTGACATAATCTTGATAAAGGTATATGTTACCATCTCAAAAAAAATAATCTTGATAAAGGTTCAATTTTTACGCTTTATCCACAATTTGTTCAAGTTACTTGAATTTTCCTGTTTTTTGGTAGGTCCATTTTGTTATTTTGGTAGCTTATAGGGGTAAAATCTCACCTATGGGATAAGGGTTGTAACGGGGTTGTCACTAGTGTTAAGGAGAATGTGGATAAATTGAGAATCCTAAATCAGGTTGGGAAATTTGCTTGGAAATTTGAACTGAGGGTTCTTTGGTTTCTGAATGGTCTTCAATTTTTCTACTGAAGGATGGTGCGTTTATCCCTTCTTGTGCATAGGTATAGGGTTTTATAAGATTAAGATGCAGAAAGCAAAGGGACAGGTTTACATGATATATTGTTACTGTACTATTTTAGATATTTTAGCTACATAGGACGTTTGGTGTCCTTGCTCCTTGTTTGCTGGAAATCAGTTTTGCAAGTGAAATAAGCTCAAGGACTATGTGATATAAGCTGAAAAGGCCAGTTCTTTCTTCTTAAAGACTACATCTTTGTGTTGTTCTGTGTCTATTTGTCTCACTTGTAGATATTGTAGTGCCTAATGAAAACATGAAAAATGGTGACAAGTGTTTGGTGCCCTTTGTTGATCTACTTTATTGTCTTTTTATTTTATTCTGTTTTTTTTTTTTGTAAACGATGAGTTGGTATAGTTAGTTCTAAAGATTATACCTTTTCTGGGAACTGCTGCTGCAAGCTTGAGAAATTGGTTTGTTCTGTACCTTCTTTGTATTTTGGTGATGTAAGAAGTCTGTGATAATGTTGATGATGTTTTATTCGTAAGATTTTCAGTTCTTAACTTTGTATCTTGCTGTATAGGGAAAGAAAAGAAAAGATACAATCTGCATTGCCCTTGCTGATGACACCTGTGATGAGCCAAGGATTAGAATGAACAAAGTTGTCAGAAATAACCTTAGGGTTCGGCTTGGTGATGTTGTCTCTGTGCATCAATGTCCTGATGTCAAGTACGGGAAACGTGTGCACATTCTTCCCATTGATGACACCATTGAAGGGGTTACTGGGAATCTATTTGATGCTTATTTGAAACGTAAGTGTTTCAGATTTCTACTATCTATTTGCTTATTGTTTATTACTATCTATCTACTTATTTTTATAAGTTTGTTAGGTTTTAAACTTCTAACTTAGAATCTCCTGTGACTTGTGTTATGTCTAATTTGCATCAAGCAAATTCTCAAGGTTTTCTCTCGCCATGCGTGGCTTCATCTGAAAGTGTTGAACGCTTTTGTATTGGAATTGGGAAGTTGAAAACAGAAAATAAGCTTTTGTCTGCATCTTTAGCCATTTTAATGTTTTCTGAGCGAGTCGCTGATTCCTAGTCATTGTTTGCCTATCAATAAATAAATAAATGAATAAATTCCCGGTCATTGTTAAAATAATGGTTTAAAGGCTTTAAACAGGCTAGTTGTAGTTGTTGTTGTTGATGATCTATAGTGAAATGTGTGTGTCACACTGCTTGGCCAAGAGATGATGCATATGAGCCTAAGTGCTTATGCAAATGCTAATCCTTCTTGTCTCCCTTGTGTTATTTGTCTACAGCCTATTTCCTTGAAGCATATCGACCAGTGAGGAAGGGTGATCTATTTCTTGTAAGAGGAGGAATGAGAAGTGTAGAATTCAAGGTTATTGAGACCGATCCTCCTGAATACTGTGTTGTCGCCCCAGATACTGAGATATTTTGTGAGGGTGAACCTGTGAGCAGAGAAGATGAGAATCGGCTAGATGAGGTTGGTTATGATGATGTTGGTGGCGTGCGTAAACAAATGGCTCAGATCCGCGAGCTTGTTGAGCTTCCATTGAGGCATCCACAACTCTTCAAATCCATTGGAGTGAAACCTCCGAAAGGAATTCTTCTGTATGGACCTCCTGGATCAGGAAAGACATTGATAGCTCGGGCAGTTGCAAATGAGACTGGTGCATTCTTCTTCTGTATTAATGGGCCAGAGATCATGTCCAAACTGGCTGGAGAAAGTGAAAGCAATCTCAGGAAAGCATTTGAGGAAGCTGAGAAGAATGCACCTTCAATTATCTTTATTGATGAAATTGATTCGATAGCTCCTAAACGTGAGAAGACAAACGGAGAGGTCGAGAGGAGGATTGTTTCTCAGCTCTTGACTCTCATGGATGGTCTCAAATCACGT